TCCTTCCGCGAGTGCACGAACACCAGAACCTGCGGAAAAGCGGGAATGGGCCGGGAATTCCCGGGAAAAACGGGCGGGAAAAGAGACGGGGATCGGGGGAAGGGCTCGGGTTTGGTGTGGGTGGGGTTAAACGGGGTTGATTTGGGATGGGAGAGTGGGAAAATCCAATTTTTGTGATCTCAGATTCCATGGAAAACCCAAATTTTCCCAGTCCAAACCGGGATTTGAGATCTGGGATTAATCCAGAAAAATTCCCTGAATCCCACAAGGACAATTCCGGATTAATCAGGGATGGGAAAGGGGGAAAATCCCAATTTTTGGGCTCTGAAATTCCATGGAAAATTCAATTTGATCCAGGAATTCCGATGGGAAGAGATCTGGGATTAATCCAGAAAAATTCCCTGAATCCCAAGGAGAAAATTCCTGATTATTCAGGGATGGGAGAGTGGGAAAATCCAATTTTTGTGATCTCAAATTCCATGGAAAACCCAAATTTTCCCAGTCCAAACCGGGATTTGAGATCTGGGATTAATCCAGAAAAATTCCCTGAATCCCACAAGGACAATTCCTGATTAATCAGGGATGGGAAAGTGGGAAAATCCCATTTTTGTGCTCTGAAATTCCATGGAAAATACAAATTTTCCCAGTCCAAGTTGAGATTTTGGATGGGGAAAGATCTGGGATTAATCCAGAAAAATTCCCTGAATCCTAAAGGGATAATTCCGGGTTAATTCGGGCTGGGAGAGTGGGAAATTCTGGTTTTTGGCCTCTCAAATTCCATGGAAAATTCAATTTGATCCAGGAATTCCAATGGGAAAAGATCTGGGATTAATCCAGAAAAATTCCCTGAATCCTAAAGGGATAATTCCGGGTTAATTCAGGATGGGGGAGCGGGAAAAGGAATTTTTTGGGCACTGAAATTCCATGGAAAACCCAAATTTTCCCAGTCCAAGTTGAGATTTTGGATGGGGAAAGATCTGGGATTAATCCAGAAAAATTCCCTGAATCCTAAAGGGATAATTCCGGGTTAATTCGGGATGGGAGAGTGGGAAAATCCCATTTTTGTGATCTCAAATTCCATGGAAAACCCAAATTTTCCCAGTCCAAACCGGGATTTGAGATCTGGGATTAATCCAGAAAAATTCCCCAATCCCAGGAAAATAATTCCTGATTAATCAGGGATGGAAAAGTGGGAAAATCCCAATTTTTGTCCTCTCTGATTCCATGGAAAATTCAATTTGATCCAGGAATTCCAATGGGAAGAGATCTGGGATTAATCCAGAAAAATTCCCTGAATCCTAAAGGGATAATTCCGGGTTAATTCGGGATGGGAGAGTGGGAAAATCTGGTTTTTGGCCTCTGAAATTCCATGGAAAACTCAATTTGATCCAGGAATTCCGATGGGAAAAAATCTGGGATTAATCCAGAAAAATTCCCTGAATCCCACAAGGACAATTCCGGATTAATCAGGGCTGGGAAAGGGGGAAAATCCCAATTTTTGTGCTCTGAAATTCCATGGAAAACCCAAATTTTCCCAGTCCAAACTGGGATTTGAGATCTGGGATTAATCCAGAAAAATTCCCTGAATCCTAAAGCGATAATTCCTGATTATTCAAGGATGGGAGAGTGGGAAAATCCCATTTTTGTGATCTCAAATTCCATGGAAAATTCAATTTTATCCAGGAATTCTGATGGGAAAAAATCTGGGATTAATCCAGAAAAATTCCCTGAATCCTAAAGGGATAATTCCGGGTTAATCCGGGATGGAAAAGGGGGAAAATCCAATTTTTGTCCTCTCTGATTCCATGGAAAATTCAATTTGATTCAGGAATTCCGATGGGAAAAAATCTGGGATTAATCCAGAAAAATTCCCCAATCCCAGGAAAATAATTCCTGATTAATCAGGGATGGAAAAGTGGGAAAATCCCAATTTTTTTTCCCCTAAAATTAAGGAAAAAATAAAAAAAAAGGGAAAATCTCATTTTTTAAAGGGAAAATCCCATTTTTTAATGGGAAAAATCCCATTTTTAATGTAAAAACCCCATTTTTAATGGAAAAATCCCATTTTTTAAAAGAAAAATCCCATTTTTAATGGGAAAAATCCCATTTTTTAATGTAAAAACCCCATTTTTTAATGGAAAAATCCCATTTTTAATGTAAAAATCCCATTTTTTAATGGAAAAATCCCATTTTTTAATGGAAAAACCCCATTTTTTAAAGGGAAAATCCCATTTTTAATGCAAAAACCCCATTTTTAATGGGAAAAACCCCATTTTTTAATGGAAAAACCCCATTTTTAATAGGAAAAACCCCATTTTTAATGTAAAAATCCCATTTTTAATGTAAAAATCCCATTTTTAATGTAAAAATCCCATTTTTTTCCCCAGGATTCCAGGAAAAATCCGGGATCAAGGTCTCCAACCTGATTTTTCCCGGCGTGCTCCATGATTTTCTCGTAGACGATCTCGTTCATGATCTGGAAACGTTTGATGGCTTTTTTCTCCGTGATTCCCACGTAAGTCTGCTCCAGAGGGACCGGTCGAAAACTGGGAACGGGAAAGAAAAAAATTCCATGGAAAAATGGGAATTCATGGAAAAACCATCAAGGAAAAAAAAAAAAAAAAAAAAGTTATCCCGGTTTTTCAGCCGTTTAATTCCGTTAAAAATTAAATTTTCCCGGTTTTTTTTGGTGTTTTTTCCTGGAATTTCTGGAATATCTGAAGAAAAAGGGAATTTTTTCCGATGGGGGAAGCAGATTCCGTGATTTATCCAAGATTTTATTTTTTTTTTTTGGGGTGGAAAATCATGGAAAAATCCGTGAATTTCTGCTGGAAAAGAGGGGAAAATCCGTTTATTCCAGGTTTTTAATCCCGTTAATTCCGGGTGGAATTGATCCAGGAATTCCCCTCATCCCAAAAAAAAAGACAATTCCCAATAAATCAGGGATGGGGGGGAAAAAAAAAAAAGAGGGAAAAATCCATTTTTGGTCCTCTCAGATTCCGTGGAAAAGTCAAGGCAAGGAATTCCGAGATTCCCAAAATTCCTGGGGATGGAATTCTGGGAATGGAATTCTGGGAATGGAGATGGAATTCCTGGGGATGGAATTCTGGGAATGGGGATGGAATTCTGGGAATAGAATTCCTGGGAATGGAGATGGAATTCTGGGAATGGGGATGGAATTCCTGGAATGGAATTCTGGGAATGGAGATGGAATTCTGGGTGGGAATGGAGATGGAATTCTGGGTGGGAATGGAGATGGAATTCCAGGTGGGAATGGAGATGGAATTCCAGGTGGGAATGGAGATGGAATTCCAGGTTTAAACATGGATGAAGTTCCAGGTGGGAATGGAGATGGAATTCCAGGTGGAAACGTGGATGGAATTCCAGGTGGAATTGAGGACGGAATTCCAGGTGGGAACACAGCCGGATCCCATCCGGAATTCCAGGTGGGAACATGGACAGAATTCCAGGTGGAATTGAGGATGGAATTCCATCAGGAAACATGGGATGGAATTCCAGGTGGGAACACGGACAAAATTCCATCAAGAAACACGGCCGGATCCCATCCGGAATTCCAGGTGGGAACACGGATGGAATTCCATCAGGAAACACGGCCAGATCCCATCCGGAATTCCAGGTGGAATTGAGGATGGAATTCCAGCTGGGAACACGGACAGGATCCCATCCAGAATTCCATCAGGGAACACAGACAGGATCCCATCCGGAATTCCAGGTGGGAACACGGACAGGATCCCATCCGGAATTCCAGGTGGGAACACGGACAGGATCCCATCCGGAATTCCAGGTGGGAACACGGCCGGATCCCATCCGGAATTCCATCAGGGAACACGGCCGGATCCCATCCGGAATTCCAGCTGGGAACACGGCCGGATCCCATCCGGAATTCCACCTTTTCCACCTTTCCCCGGTACCTGTTGTCGAAGTAGAAGAGGCCCTTGGCGGGGTCCACGCGCAGGAAGGTGGCCACGTCCTCGTAGTTGGGCAGGGTGGCGCTGAGCCCCACCAGCCGCACGTCCTCCTGCGTCATCTCGATGTTCCTGATGGCCCTGGCCACCAGGGACTCCAGCACGGGCCCGCGGTCGTCGTGGAGGAGGTGGATCTTATCCTGGGAAAACGGGGAACTTCTGGAATTCCCCGTCCTGCTGGGTGGGATCTCAGATCTGGGGATTCCATCCCAGCTCCCACCGTCCTGGCCCTTCCCAGAATTCCATCGAAACNAATTTTGGGAATCTCACCGTGGGAGCGCAGAGCAGCAGGTTCTCATTCTCCCCTAACTCCTAATTAATTCCCAATTAATTCCCAATTCATTCCCAATTAATTCCCAATTCCTCTGGAGCTGTTCCAGATGTTCTCCCCAATCCCAAACCCTTCCCTAAATCCCAATTAATTCCCAATTAACTCCCAATTAACTACCAATTCCTCTGCCCAGGGGAGCCCCAGCTCCCCCTGTCGGCTTCCAGAGCATCCCAGAACTCCGGGAATTCTGGGAATCCCGGGAATTTTGGGAATCTCACCGTGGGAGCGCAGAGCAGCAGGTTCTCATCCTCCCCTAACTCCCAATTAATTCCCAATTAACTCCCAATTCATTCCCAATTAACTCCCAATTCCTCTGGAGCTGTTCCAGATCTTCTACTCAATCCCAAACCCTTCCCTAAATCCCAATCAATTCCCAATTAATTCTCAATTACTTCCCAATTCCTCTGGACCTGTTCCAGATGTTCTCCCCAATCCCAAACCCTTCCCTTAATCCCAATTAATTCCCATTTAATTCCCAATTAATTC